AGGCAGCCGCACCTGCTCGCTGCCCGCACCTCGCTCCGACCTCCTCGCTTTGAATCTGCAAACCTTGAGAGGCTCCGCTCACACTCAGCTCAGCAAGAGAGGCCACCTGGCCAACGTCGGCCTCCGCGGGCACTCCCTGGCCCACCACTGCCGCCCGCCGCAATGGTCCGGCCACTCCGCAGCCCAGCTGGGGCCTCTGACCCGTCCTGCCTCCTGCCCACGGTCCTTGCTTCCGCAGGCCAGGCCCATACCTGACTCCTGACCAAAAGCCCGGGGGGACGGTGGCTACCCTGGCAGACACCCACAGGGTCTGAGGGCACCTGGGATCAGATTCCCCGTCTCCAGGCCTGACCCCACCTGGGCAGACACGACACCACACAGCCCATGCAACTTCTCGTGCTGGGGTGCCAGCCATGCCCTGGGAGAGAGCCTGGCAGTGGGCTCACCGGGCCAAGTGTTGGTTACATTGGCTGAGAATATATTTTTTAAATATATTTTATTGATTTTTTTACAGAGAGGAAGGGAGAGGGATAAAGAGTTAGAAACATCGATGAGAGAGAAACATCAGTCGGCTGCCTCCTGCACACCTCCAACTGGGGATGTGCCCGCAACCCAGGTACATGCCCTTGACCGGAATCGAACCTGGGACCTTTCAGTCCGCAGGCTGACGCTCTGTCCACTGAGCCACACTGGCAAGGGCTGCTGAGAATATCTTAACTGCAGTCAGGTGAGGGCACTGCCTCTCCTCTGTTACTCTCTTCTTGGCTCCAGGGACCCCCGTGTGGAAATAAATAGGACCTCAAATGAAATTTGGGAGGGTCTGTCGGGGGAGTTCTTCCACCCTACCACTCTGCATCCATCACCCCAAACAGGGAGAGAGACACCTGCATCTCCAACTGATGTTTTCTAAGTCCCTACCCTAGTGGGAGGAAGATTTTCTCCCTGCCTGGCAACAGCTCAGCCAATGAGAGGCTGTCACAACGCAGCAATGAAAAGCCACTGCATTTTGAACTCCAAGTTTCCACCAATGGACTCCTTGTTGGTAACAGCCCCTCCCAACTACCCTCTTTCCTCTATAAATGCACGCTCCTCTCCTTTGTTCTTGGGACCTGCTGGTTTGCTCTAGACCAGTGGTCGGCAAACTGCGGCTCGCGAGCCACATGCGGCTCTTTGGCCCCTTGAGTGTGGCTCTTCCTAAGCCTTAGGAGTACCCTAATTAAGTTAATAACAATGTACCTACCTATATAGTTTAAATTTAAAAAATTTGGCTCTCAAAAAAAATTTCAATCATTGTACTGTTGATATCTGGCTCTGTTGACTAATGAGTTTGCCGACCACTGCCCTAGACTAACGTCCTGAATTGTGATTCTTTTATTCTTTTTTTTTAAATTGATTTCAGAGAGGAAGGGAGAGGAGAGAGGGATAGAAACATCAATGATGAAAGAGAATGATGGGACAACTGCCTCCTGCCTGCTCCACTCTGGGGATCCAGCCCACAACCCAGGCATGTGCCTGACCGGGAATCAGACCTGGTTCATCATAGGTTGGGCGGGCTCTTTGCTGTCCTTGAATAAACCCATTTTTTCTTCTAATACAATAACTTTCACTCAGGGGAACTTGAGATCATTTCGTTGGAGCTTATGGGACATTTTTTTGCAGCTCACAATCTTGCTGGCCTGCCCTGGGGTAGGTATGTCTACGATGGCTGCCAACCCCCCTCTCTTTTACTGGACGTATTCGGGAGTGGAGAAGAAACAAGGTCTGTAGTAGGAACCAGAAGTGAGTCTGTGCAAAATTCTTCCCATCATGCAACGTGCAAAATTGTGAGCGGACTCAGGTCTCCCCAACCCCTGGGCAGAAGGAAATCCGTCTCCTCTGATGAAAGCAGCCCGTAATGCAGGATTATGATTTAATACTCCTTTTGGCTGGGGTTGCCCTTACCAGAACTCCTGTATTTGTGCAGCAAACACCTACCTGTAGGAATGCTACCGTGAGTACGTCCTGCAAAGCCCCGGAGGATTACCCAAACCAGGGTCAACACTAACAGTCAGATACCGATTTGATCAGATGCGCTAGAGAAATCGGAATCGCCCGCCGGTTCTTTCCATAACACAATCTGCAAAGTCATGATGTGCGCATTCAGAGAACACAGCCAAAAATGTAAGCAAAAGCACTAGACCCGCATTTGTTAATCCATACAAATGTTATGTTTCTAAATTGTGTGATATTTGTGGCACTTGTCAGTTTTTAAAAAATGTATCGTTTGTCCTCTTATACAAAACTATCGTAAAATAGCCCTAGCCGGTTTGACTCAGTGGATAGAGCATTGGCCTGTGGACTGAAGGGTCCCGGGTTCGATTCCCAGTCAAGGGCACATGCCTGGGGCTCGATCCCCAGTAGGGGGCGTGCAGGAGGCAGCTGGTCAATGATTCCCTCTCATGGATGTTTCTCTCTCTCTCCCTTCCTCTCTGAAATCAATGAAAATAAAAATTTAAAAAAACATAACTGTGAGATATTACAGAATTGTTGTAAAGGAATATACATTATACAAAATATTATACAAAAATGTTTCCTTTTCTAAGTTTGGTTTTTTATCGTAAAGAGAGTCCTACCCCACATTATGTCTGTCCCCCGTCTCTGCGTCACGTGAGCGCGAGCCCAGGAACACACCTGCCTGCTGCCGGCCCAGCCCCACAGCAGGAGGAGGGACGGGCGGGCAGACACTCCCTGGCCCGTCTGTGGGCGCGCACCCGAACCCCTTCCCGAACCCCTTCC